AATAATAATAAATTGAAGCGAGCAGGATGGAGGAAGTAAGGACGCAAGTAATGAGGGAGAGCAAATAGGTCAATGTGACTAGGTCATATTTTGGGCAATTTAGCTGCAGTGACCACAGGATTGGTCTCTTGGAGAACTCGCCGAGCCTCTGTCTTATAATCGAAGGGGCAGTCGTGCAGCTCCGCATATCGATGCTTTGCGCAGAAACTTCGCTCACACCTACAAGATAAGGCGAACACACACACAGGCGACAATAATGAGAATGCAATTAGGCTATGGGCCAACACGATGATAATGAAAAGGTCATATTGCTAGTCATGGGGTGTGCGATAGACTTACCTCCACGTGGTGCACCCTGGGCAACGTATACTCATACGGCAAAAAAGTCTATTAATCGGCAGTTGACTTCTGACTTCAAACTACCATGACCCCACCGCATTTCATATTCTACTAATTAAACAGTACCCACCCCACCATTTTTTCTACTTTTATGTCTGTCTCTTTTACAACTGTAAATTACTCTTCTGTTCCCCACCGCTCGACCTTCTGTTACTTTGATGTTCCTTCCCCCTGTGAAGCTCCCTAAGTCAACTAAAGGGCTAATGATAACCGTCAAAACGCCTGCTATTTGAAATAAATATAATGCTAGTCATTTAACTAAAGGTGGGCACAGAATGGAATATAGTGTTAAAGTGAAAATCTAGGGTTGACTTAGATTTTAATACCATAAAGTTTTATCCGCGATTTTCATGCATGATGATACCTGCGTATCTCCCTCTATCAACAACCTCTACTAGCTATCGTGAGTTCTTACTACTCCTTGGTACACGCCCTCAGCACAGGGAAAAATCTACACCCAACAGGCATTTTTCTTAGCGGGACCAAACATATGATGTTTCTATATTAGAGAATGAATTATAGTGGAGTCAAGAAGGATAGAAAGATGAGGAGGAGGAGGAAAAGGTGATCCAAGAAACGTAAATGCTTGCAATAGAGCATGAGAGAAAGTTTGTGACAAAGTGCCAAAAAGGCGGGAGGAAGCGACCATCCCGCGATTACGGAAACTCTTTCAGAAGCAAAATAGTTGCCCGAAAAAGTGCGCCTCGGTAGTTGAGGGGGGGGGAGGGGGTAAAGAACCTGCCAAATATAGCGAATGTACTTTTAGAAATTCTAGAGCTTGTCGACCAACTTAATGACAGCTCCACAGTAGGCCACTTCAACAAAATATCACCTTCCAATGTCAGTCAAAAGTATAAATGACGTCAACAATTTGTCCAATTCGGACGAAAAAGGGTGCATCGATTCCTGTAAAATGTAATTTAAAATGCGCACTAAACGAAACATTAAAAAAACAACCTCATTTTTCAAGCCACATAAACCCAATTAGTTAGAGCCACATGATTTTTGAATTAAAAGAGTTACTTCATTACCTATGCATACATTACACAATCAAGACAAGTGGATATCCAAAGTTGTGAGAAAGGAGGATAGGTGATTTCGGAAGATTTTCTCTCCAATTTAAGAATGTTAGATGACATGAAACATTATTTCGGGTATTTAGTAAATTTATATCCAAATTGGATCCACATCTTCGGAAAGTTCCAAGAAGATAGTTAAGCATCCAACTAAATTTAAGGATTTGAGATACTAATGGGAATGGAAGACAGTCGAAGCACATTATTATCGTTAAGCTTTAGAACATAGATTATATTGAATAGATATTGCTGGAGTACTTAGGCGAATCCATTAAGAGGGTACGGAAATGATATTCGCCGACGTACATTCAATGAATTTGATGGTCATCCCCAGTGGCTAGCGTGACTTGCAAGTGGAAAAGCCCCCTTTTTTACGTAACTGAACATGCATCGAGGAGTCTTGATCTAGTAAGAATCTTACAGACACGAGTAGATACACTGAGCTTCCGGATGTAGAAGTATAAAAAACGAACCTGCACGTATAGAAGTTGGCAAGGCCAGTCTTCCTATTGCAGCTGGCACATCGTTTAGCTTTGAGCTTGGATGGGGACCTTCGCAGAGATTCAGAGGACACGTCTTCTTGCGTCGTTGAAGGAGAGACCGGAGGTGGTGGAGCAGCCTTTTTGGGGGGTATTTGAGGAGAAGATTTAACTAGCTCATCTCTTGTTTGGGCGGAAGCTTTTACAGTGCCTGCAAAATGTAAAAAAACGATCAAAGTTTATGACGGACTATGACGCTGCAATTAGATTATCGAATTAGAGTAAGCACTGCACAGCATAATTTTATTATTTTCTTTCGGAAGCAGGTAACAATGATTAATAAAACTAAACAAATACGAATGCTGAAAAGCGCAAGATACTCCATCTGAATACCCATTACAAATGCTACTGATAACATTCTAGTAGAGAAAGCCAACAATTCAAGAAATTGGGCCTATGAAGATTGAAAAATGAAAAGAATTTCACGTAACTATATAAAATAGCCTTAAATACAGCCATGGGCCAGTTCACTTATTAGCCAAGTGAAAATTCACTTGTACGATTCTTACAGACTGTCAAAGGGATTAATAGCTTCGATTTTGGTGTAGTTTTGAAAGATAGCCCCGTCTGGTCACATGATTAAAATAGAATCTGTGAAAAGTCACACTAAGTTGCGCAACTACAACACAAGACTCGAATTTATAGAAAAATACCACCTTTCTCAGATAAGGTAATTTTGGAATGACAACGCAGCTTAACCCTTTAAAGCCCGAATCATTTTTTGAAAAATGCACCCAAACGCACTCATGCTTGCCACTCAGCAGACTGATGCCGCCGACATGATGAATTTTGGTGGTGTATCAGGCGAGGGCTACATAGACCCGTATTGAATGTGTTTCAAACGACAATAGCGCCTTCTGTTACGAGTCTAGTACCAATGGAGCTTATTTCGAAAGAGAACCGTACGGTCCTAAGGGCATTAAAGGATTAAATGAGATTACTGAGTACTATTCCAATAATGAGGGAAATCAAAATAAGGGGACGGTGATTTGAGTTTTTGATTAAAAGACCCTTGCTTGACTATCCCCCAACAATCACGACTACAGACTTGGAGCACAAGAGCTTCAATCGCCAAATACTAAAAATTCGACTTGGTAACTCATTTTGGGATTTATCCACTAAGGAATAAAATTGACATTTACTGGAAACCATGTAAGCCCATTATGTCCTACAAATGGAACTGCAAAAAACTCGTTAATAGGGAAAAAATTTCCATCGAAAATAACTACGAAGAAATTCAAATTCGTAACTATCTTTTGTTTTATTTCAATCCTACAAGATTGAAACAAGAAATACAAGGTGCTGGGGATTAACTTTAAAGAAAAAATATGTGGCACTCTTCCTCCAGATGCGTTAGAGGTGTTGAAGTTGGTGATAACGAGAATGGAAGACCGGAAACAGCAAGAATTGAAGAAGCGAAATGCTAACCTCTGTTATAATTAAGCAGCGGGGTGCGCGATAGACTTACCTCCACGTGGTGCACCCTGGGCAGCGTATACTCATATGGCAAAAAGTCTATTAACTGGCAGTTAACCTCTCACTTCAAACTACTATGACCTGATTCTATGCCATTTTCTATCAATACCACAATACTCGTCTTACCTTTTCTCTGCATTTGTGTCTGTTTCTTTTACACCTTTGAAACACTTTTCTCTTCCCTCCCCTCCTCTCTCGACTTTTTTTCACTTTGATGTTCCTCCTCCCCTCTGTGAAGCCTGAAGTCAACTAAAGGGCTAATATGATAACTATCATAACGCCTGNTTTTGAGAAATTTTGGATGATTCATCCACAGATTGATTAAATTAGGTGGTTGGTCATATCATTAAACCAATTCTACTTATTGATGTACTATTCTTCCTGCAAAGCAACTGTTCAAGTTAAGTAGTTAGAGTTTCGATGTGCACCACCCAGGTAAAAAGTGGGTGTTAGAATTCCAAAACACACCTCCTCTACATTGGAGTGTGCGATAGATTTACCTCCACATGGGGCATCTTGGGCAACGTATACTCATACGGCAAAAAAGTCTATTAGCCGGCAGTTGATTTCTCACTTCAAACTATCATCACCCCACTGTATGTCATATTCCACAACTTTCACTGTACTCATCTCACCTTTATCTCTACCTTTGTGTCTGTCTGTCTCTTCTACATTTGTGAATCAATCTTTTGTTCCCTCTCTCGAATTTTTCTCCCTTTAATGTTGCTCACTCTGTAAATCCCGAAGTCAGTTAAATGGATAATGATGACTATTTAAAACGCCTGCCATTTGAAATAATAATAACAATAATAATCTTCTCTACACTAGACAGATATTTTGTAAATAGAGAGTTTCTTTGTATTGAGCAGACTATTCCAGTTGCTAGACGAGCAAATGAAACTTTCATTCTCCACTAGTTATTTAAGGCGTTGGAGGATTCTAAAATGAGACCCACATTGGGGTTTGGATTATGGGACATTTTGCTTTCCATCAAATGGCCTGATATTTATCTTTTATTCTTGAAATGAGCACATTGCAAGCATTTTAATAAATCAAAATACAGCAATACAATTTAATTATGTTGAGATTATATTTAAAGTGATTAACGTCACCCATTCCGCAGAGGTAGCATAGCGTTTACGTAATAAGAGACCAGGGACGAAACGTCACAATACAAAACAATTAACAGAACAAACGCATATAAAGTATTTTAAGGAATTAATTGTGAGAGCATTTAGTGATTTCAAATTGTAGCTTTTGCTAAACGAAATTAGCCGGCCAATTTGAGTTATGGACAGGTGAGCGAGTAATGGTGGAAGATAGCTAGGGCGTTAATTAAAATGCGATCACGTTATGTTTCACTCTTTTTTCATAAACATTGTTCACATCTTCATGCTCGAAGGTCGTTTTGTTTATATTATTGTTTTTCCGCTAGTGTCTGAATCTACGTTTGCGGGTCCTAGAGCCCACTGACAGGCTAGTTGGTCTGAATGATTGGTCTGCTAATTCTGAATGCGTGCTTTTCTTTTAATTTGTGGGGCATATTTTTATAGGGGGAAAAATTTGCTTTCTAAATACGGCGCGTTCACAAATCGACAAGACAGTCTCATTATTCCTTCTTCCAAAATGCAAGCCAATTAAGTTTGATGAATGTATAGTCTTTTTGTGGTGACAAACTTCTGACCATGAAAGATTTATCGATAAGTAATTGACACGTGGGACACGCTCGAAGCCATCTGGGGAACGACATCTGGAGTAGAAATACGCTGAAAGGTTTGCTTGCCAGGAACAGAAAATTAAGGTGTAAAGTGACATTGGAAAGAGAACACTGGTCATCAAGTTTGATTAAGACAAAAAACGCCTTCTTTCCATTCCTTGAAATTAATTTGCACCAACTTAAAATTGGTTTCCAGCTACTTATAACTTAGATAGGTATACTTAGAGGCACTTGAATGTCTTTTCTGTTCTTTCTGTTGGTTCCGTGCATCTCTGGCATTTAGGGAAAATAACCTCTTTAATTGTCTTTTTGATTGTCAAATATTTTCAATGTCTCCTAATTTAGTAATTCAATAGCAAGGTTGCTATTGGACTAATTGACTATGGAATAAGGTCAGGGTGGATAAGTAAGTCGCGATTGGAAGAAACGACCGTATGATTAATGTCATGTTCATTGGATAATTATAATTGTAATGGTAATAGTAAAAATAAAAAAAAACAAGCCCATCCGTGTAGGGTTGAAATTTGAGGGGAGAGCCAAGTGGGTGTGCGATAGACTTACCTCCACGTGGTGCACCCTGGAAATATGCCTTCACTATCAACATCTTATTTGGAAGCGGAGGGGTGTGTGCGATAGACTTACCTCCACGTGGTGCACCCTGGACAGCGTGCGATAGACTTACCTCCACGTGGTGCACCCTGGGCAACTTTCAACCCTTGCTGGTTTTCTAAACAATTATTCTTAAGAATACGATAGACTTACCTCCACGTGGTGCACCCTGGGCAACGTAAACTCATACGGCAAAAGTCTATTAACCGGCAGTTGGATTCTCACTTCCAACTACAATCACCCCACTGTATGTCATATCCGAATACTTCCACAGTACTCACCTCACATTTTTTCTACCTTCGTCTTTGAAACACTCTTCTGTTCCTTCCCCCTCTCGACTTTTTTCACTTTGATGTTCCTTCCCCTCTGTGAAGCCTGAAGTCAACTATAGGGCTAATGGTGACCATCGAAACGCCTCCCATTTGATATAAATAAATAAATAAATGTTCATTGGGTAGTGGTGTCCGAAAAAGACTGGTAAATAGGTAAAGATGGAAGGTTGAATTAATTAATTCCTGTGAATTAACGCATCTTTCGAGTGTGAAACATTGACAATAATGTAACCCATTATTTCTTTTGTTCTGTGGTGCTGTCTTTTAACAATGAGATTATTTACGTGCAGGGGGTGTAACCGGTTTTCGGACAGCACACGAACTAACTGAAACGTTGACTCATTTATTTACTTGCGACCTATCATTTCTTCTCTTTTTCGCAAATAGTAGTGTTTTAATGCTTGAGATATGCATCCGTTTCACTACTCCATGCGTGCGTTGCTTCTTGTACTGATCAGGAAAAGTACATCGTTGAGTACTGATCGTCATCGACTTCGTGTACATGTAGATATGGGCTTTCAAAATTCTCAACTTAACTTGGTCATTCCATTATAATTACGGAAGACTACTAATAACCTCTTTTATATACAGGACACAATAGATCCGCTTTCGAAGGAGAAATAGAGGCTATTAGGATAGCACTATGCCAATTATGTGGCCTGGATACGAAATTCACCAAAGTGGTGATACTTTCGGACACACAGTCATCAATAAACTCTATTGGAAACAGAGAGCCTCCCAAAACAGCTGAGATAAAAAGAATGTAGAAAAGTCTCTCAGCTGCTGAGAGAGAAAAACAAAACAGTGGTCCTACAATGGATTGCTGGTCACTGTGGCATCAAAGGTAATGAGCTTGCTGACACACTTGCTATGAAGGGGACAACGATTTTGCAATGCATGGACNTAACCTCTGTTATAATTAAGCAGCGGGGTGCGCGATAGACTTACCTCCACGTGGTGCACCCTGGGCAGCGTATACTCATATGGCAAAAAGTCTATTAACTGGCAGTTAACCTCTCACTTCAAACTACTATGACCTGATTCTATGCCATTTTCTATCAATACCACAATACTCGTCTTACCTTTTCTCTGCATTTGTGTCTGTTTCTTTTACACCTTTGAAACACTTTTCTCTTCCCTCCCCTCCTCTCTCGACTTTTTTTCACTTTGATGTTCCTCCTCCCCTCTGTGAAGCCTGAAGTCAACTAAAGGGCTAATATGATA